CCCCACAACCGCCCCATCCACCCCCGCACTCCCCGACGACATCATCTACGACATATTCGCAGCCGCAGCGCTCGTCGACCCCCCACGCGCCCTCGACCTGCCGCCCGACCTGCAGCCCGAGCACACGCACACGCTCCTCGGCTGGATCGTCCTCACGCACGTCTGCCGGCGCTGGCGCACTATCGGCCTCAGCGCGTCCCTCGCGCACCTCTGGGCACGCGTTGTGTGCTTGAGCTGCAGACGGGACGCCCGCGACGAGCTCTTGGCCCGCGCGCGGGGGTGCGCGCTCACGATTGATCTGAGGCGGTATAGCGATGGTGTCAAGCCCATCGTGAGTCCGCTGTGGCCGCAGGAGTATTGGGCGCTGGGGGAGATGCGCAGGGCGGATGTGCTCGTTGTGTCGGGGAGTCGGATTATGGAGTGGCTCAATCGCGACAGGCGGGCTCTGCCTAATCTGCGCGAGCTGCTTCTCGATCTCCAACCCGGCGATACGGCCGTGCCCCTCGAATGGGAAGCTCCCACACTCCGATACGCGACGCTGAGCATGGTGCTTCTACCTGCTCATCTGGCCGCCGGTCTGCGCGAGCTACATCTGCACATCGACGCGACGCGCGTCCCGCTTGCGGACCTTCGGTGGTTCTTGCGGTCGTGCGTGCTTTTGGAGATTCTCGACGTCGACGTCAAGAATTCATGGCGCTACGAACGCGAATACCGGCCGGACGTCGAAATACGGTTGGACCACCTGGAACGTGCGACATTAGCTGTACCCTCGGACCAAGCGCTCCTGGACATCTGGAAACCCATCGTCGCCCCGGCCTCTTTGGCCTTCAACCTAACAATCACCTCCCGCGCTCTCGACCCTGCGTGTATCCCGCGCGCGCGCATCCTCGTGGACGCCGTCGAAAGCCAGATGGATAACGTCGCGTACGACAGGCTGGAGATGTTTGCGCTGGACAGCTGTGGAGAGTATAGCCGCTGGATGCGTCTTCGGCTTTATTCGCTGGAGACGGCGGCGTCGTGCGAGATGCTGTTTAGGGTGAGCGTGAAAACGCGCGCGGAGCTCCTCGATCAATTGCCGTATTATATCCCATATGCGGCGGCTCGGATCGAGAGCCTCACGGCGGAGGCGCTCGTTGCCGATACAATGCGGATCGATATCAGTCCTTCGGATACGCATTGAAGATTACTAGGGGTGGCAAGTCGAGACTCGGAAGCACTAGGAGGCTGGCGTCGGAGACGGGGCCCGGGAGGGACTGGTCATTTGTACTGCATTCGGTTTGCGAGAGGCCAATTCATGTATACAATCCGTAGTAGTAGTGCGCAAAGGCGATAACAGTTCAAACGCGAGCTCTCAATATATTATATAACACATCCTTGTCAACGCTCTCATCCACCAACGACCTGAACAACCCACCTTCCCGCAACGACGCCTGCATAACTCCATCCGTCGCATGGTCGATCGAGGACGTCGCCTCGTCCAGAACGAGCAGCTTGCTATCGCGCACGAGCGCGCGCGCGAGGGCCAAGATCTGGCGCTTGCCGACCGACAAGTTACTTCCACCGTTAGATACGTGCGTGTCGAACGTGATGCGACTTTCGCCTGTGGCGCCCTGTAACGAGTACAGTCCCGCAGAGCGCAGAGCCGAGTTCAGCGTCGCGTCGTCGTGCTCGCCGAACGGGTCCAGATTCTCACGGAGCGTTCCGCTCAACAGCTCCGGCACCTGCGGGATAATCGTGATGCTCTCATTCCAGAAGCATCAGGAGGAAGATATCTCTAGTGAGAGCCATGAGAGGATAGTCGTCTGTACTGTGTCTGGTTTCGAGGTGTTCATGTATGCGGTCTGCAGTCGTAGTAGTGCGGACAGGCGAGAACGGCTCAAACGCGACTCGGACCTCGTAACGTATTATATAACACTTCTCTGTCCACGCTCTCGTCCACCAACGACTTGAATAAGCCGCCTTCCATCCCAAGAAGCCGTGTGGGGCTGTCGAACTCGACAATGCGCCCGGCGTCCAAGACCATCTGAGCAAACAGCTCAATAATTGACCCACAAACAACACCATCAAGGGACTCACGATCCTATCGGCATCCATGATAGTCTGCAGCCGATGAGCCACGATGAGCAGCGTCACATCGTCGCCGAGCTCAGTGCGCAACGACGACTGGATGATCTCGTCCGTCTCGTGGTCGATCGAGGACGTCGCCTCGTCCAGGATGAGCAGCTTGCTCCCGCGCACGAGTGCCCGTGCAAGGGCCAGAATCTGGCGTTGGCCGACTGAGAGGTTGCCTCCTCCGCTGGAGACGTGCGTATCGAGCGTGATGCGGCCTTCGCCCGCCTCGCCCTGTAACGAGTACAGCCCCGCGGAGCGCAGAGCCGAGTTCAGCGTCGCGTCGTCGTGCTCCCCAAACGGGTCTAGATTCTCACGGAGCGTTCCGCTCAACAACTCTGGCACTTGAGGGATAATCGTAATGCTCGCGCGGAGCGCGTGGAGGTTTATATCGGCCGTATTGACGCCGTCGTAGTATACGTTGCCCGTTGTGAAGATGCAGCGCAGAAGGGAGAGCGTGAGCGTGCTCTTCCCGCTCCCGGTCCGGCCGACGATGCCGATGCGCTCGCCGGACTTGATGATAAACGTGAGGTCGTGCAGAACGACGGGTCCGTCTGGGGCGTAGCGCGCTGAGAGGTCTTCGACGCGTAAGGAGCCACTGGTGGGCCAGGATGCGGGTGGGGCTTTTGAGGCGACGGGCTTTGGTTCTTGTTCGATCTCGAGATAGGCTTGGATGCGCTCGAGACTGTTGCCTTGGACTTCGAAGTCGTTGTAGAACTGGACGCAGTATCTGTTGTGCTCATCAGTGCTTCATGCACTGCCCTGTGTGATGACGTACTCACAGGATCATACCACTAAAGCCGACTGAATGCGATCTCAGCATATGAGTTGCATGACAGTACGAAGCTACTCACTCGCCATCGAAAGAGCAAAACCGACATTCGACGCTCCGATAGTCGCACTCGCAGGCCCGTATACGAAGTAAGCCCCGATAGACGAAGAAAAGAACCCGCCTAGCACATCGGTGCGGATGCCGATCCAGCAGCTCAGGTTGTAGTACATCCTGCTGCAGCGGATATACTCTTCGAGTCGTCGGTATAACTCGTATCGAAACGCATCTTCTGCTCCGTATGCACGAATAGATGCTACTCAACACATCAATGCACTTCTTCTCAAGTCCGTGTGAGTATGGTAGAACGTACTCAAGCCGGCGATGGCAGCCCCGAAGTGGCCAAGGACGGGCGCCTTCTTGTTCGACATCACCCTTTTGACAGGGAGCTGTGCTTTCATGTATATATTCCCGCACCATGCGCCCGCCAAGAAGACTACGATGCCTGGGAGCATGGCAACGGGAGAGACCACGGCTATCGCGATGATGTCGACAAGCATGGCTATAGCCATACGCACTGTGCGAATGTCAGGGGCCACTCTATGAGTCCGCGCATAGAGGTACGCACCAAGGTAGATGAAGAGCGTGGCGAACCAGCCGTCGACCGCATCGACGTCTTTGGTGCAGCGCGTGAGTATCCTGGACATCGGGGTAGCATCGAGCCAGTGTAGGGTAGTGCCGACAATCGTGTCGATAAGCCGGGCATGGACGGCGCGCGCGGCCCGGATGATGCCGAAGAGGTACGTCCCAGAGCTCAGTGCATACCCGCACAGTGCGCCGAGGATCAAGAGGAGAAAGCCGGACATATAGCTGTAGTCGTGGTTAGAAAGATGGGAGATGTGAATGCTGTATTGAGCTTACTATGTGATGTCAACGGGACCTGGTCTTGCGTACGCGTCCGCCCAACGGCCGAGCCACAGTGACTGTAGGCTTCCGAGGAGCTGGTAGACGGTGACGCTACCGAGGAACGTCGTCCAGAACAGAAACGGATGCTTCCCTCCGAGAGCCGACCAAAAAAGGCTCACTGTAAGAGCAGATCAGCGAAGGCGAACGGAGAGGAGAGCAACATGACTGACAAGCGTGCAGAGAGACGCGTCCTTCGGCAATCTCTTCATCTACTACCAACTTCCCTTCTGCTTGCTTCACCGCCTCGTCACCCTCCGCCCTGTCCACTTCTTCGTCCGCCTTCGTCAGAAGTTCTTCTTCCATGGCAGCCTCACGGGCGAGCGTCTTGTCCGTCTCCAGCATGTTGCCATAGGAGTGTCTCGTTGTAACAGACCCATCGCGTCCGACGGAGACAAAGAAGTCGGCAATGGGCCCAGCAAGTGCGACGTTATGTGTCTGATGATGGGATGAGCATCGAAGAGGCAGTCGATGAGAAGCGTGTCCTTACGACCAGGATGACGGTTCGACCTCGGATGAGGTCGCCTTTGAGGCACTTCTCAACAATCCACTTCGCCGTGTGAACGTCCAGCGCCGCGAAGACGTCGTCGAGTAGAAGGATATTGGCGGACGAGTAAACGGCACGCGCGAGCGTGACCCGAGCTTTCTGACCGCCGCTAAGTGTTAGACCCTTCTCGCCGACTTCGGTCCAGTCTCCAGCTTTGAACGACGACAGATCTCGTTCGAGGCCGCACTGGTAGATGACTATGCGTAAGATCAGTGTCTTATCGCGCAGGGAAGCATCCTGCACATACCCTTCTTGTACCTTGCATCGTCGTAGGGGGCGCCAAAGAGTATGTTGTCCCGGATGGTTTCGTTCTGCACCCAGCTGTCTTGCGCGGCGTAGGCGACACCGTCTTCGCGCGGCAGACTAACCCAAGCGTCCTCGGCCAAGGGCGTGAAATGCATCTCGCCCAACAATGCCATCAGCAGGCTGGTCTTGCCTGAGCCAGTGGGACCGACGATCAGGTTGATCTTTCCACGCTCGAAGAGAAGTTCGCCGGGGATGCGCAGAGTGAAAGCGCGTTGTGCTATCGTACTATTCTCGTTAGGGAGGCTCGTCGTATCCCAAGCGAAGGATGCGTTGTGCATGCCGATAACAGTTGTGTGTGGCGACGGCTCAGGTTGGTCTGGATACTGAGGCCGATGCGCGTCTGTATGCCGGTCAAGTACTTCGGAGTCTTGGAGGAAGCTCGTGATACGATCGAGGGAGACCTTGGCTAACAATATGTGAGGCAAGTTGGCGCGAGCGCAGTTGTGACGCGGCGTACCTCGTAGTATTGTCCCGGAGGCACCAAATAGCATAGATATCTGTCCGCGCAATCCCATGAATACCGACATGGCGGGGAAGACAATGGATGCTGCGAGACTCGTCAGATTGTGCATCGTCTCAATCCGTGACAAACGTACGTGTGAGCTCCTCCTTCATGATTAAAGTGAAGGTCGCGATTGTGGCCACCATCTGCAGTACCGGAATGACACTGGCGCACATGAATTGAGGACCATCATGCAAGGCGATGATATGCAGCGGGCACTCACTACGTGACACAACTATTGAGCAGCTGAAGGAGCTCGATATGCCGTAGCCAGCGAAGCTCCTCAGCGCGCTTACTGGCTATACGTCCGGCTATCCTGCGCTCCCAGCCAAACATCTTGATCATACGGATGACGTTCAGAGCTTCGGAGACGGTCTCCACTCGCGCGTCCGCTTTCTCTGCCAGGACCTTGAAAACCCCTTGCATACGACTGGCGAGGAAGCCTGGGATGGGCAGACATGCGATGGTGCAGGTTACGCCAACGAAGGTACTAGATCTATGTTGAGCGAACGTTGCACAATAGCCTGCGTCAAATTCGGGAACGTACCTCCAGCCGAGTAGCGTGTACAAGAAGTACACGGATACGGCAATTGATATCGGAGTGAAGAGACAGGTGATCATGATGTTGCGAGCATTGGCGATCCTCTGCACGTCGGTCGTGATAAGGTTATTGATCTTCCCTACCACATTCTGGCCTTGAGACGTCGCGCCGGCGGGCGTGGGCTGAGGGGACTCAGATACGGGTGGGCTGTCAAGGTTCGTATCCAGATGTTGACCCTCAGGCTCTTCTCCAATGGTCGTTTCCGCGCCTTCTGGTGGCGCACCTGCGGATATTATCGCAGGTGATACTTCTCCCCGGACATCCGAAGGTCTGCCGTTCGCCGTTAAGCGAATGCGTAGCGCATGCTCGAAAACAAGCTGGGTGATCATGCACTCCACGCGGATGACTGTCGCATTCTATCCGCATACTATCAGTTCCTGGGTGATATGGGGGAAGAGGAACGTATGTACGCACGGCGATGAAGTCATGCAGTTGCGAAAGCAATGATCCCACACCCGGTCCAACGAGCATCAATAGACACCATACCCAAGGGCGCACGGTGGCGCCCACCCCACCTGTCTCCAGATAGCTAGAATGCGAGTATCAGCAACCAATCGTTATATACAGAGAGGTCGACGCACTTCAGAAGACGATTGATACCGATAGGCGCGAATATCGCGGTAACCGCGTGCAAGACCATTGTGCCGGCCAGAAGCGCCCACTCCCACGCTACATAGCCTATCAGCGCTTGTGGCCGGTATGAAGCGCTGAGCCTCACCGAATACTCTCGTCAGTGCGAAGAAGATGTGGTGTTTGGGCGCGCCCGAAAAGACGTCCAGATGCTTGAAGCCGCGGTGAACGAGGTACGACATCCGGTCGTAGTCGGCAATCTCTGGCAGCATGTCGAATGTATAGCGCGGTGCAGTGTACGCGACGTAGATGTCGCTGTCCAGAAAGCTATATGTTAGAAGCGACAAGAGCGAACACGTTTGTTCCGGGTTGAGCTCTCGTTGAGAATTTGAAGGAGTCTGACCGGTATCAGTATGCTAGGCATGTGCGATCTGGACATCGCTTACCTCGGGATGAAGTAGTGTAGGCGACCGGCGAGGCATGATAAGCGGGACGACGACGGCTGCGACTGCGAGCAGCGCAATCTTGATCCAGAGCGTCAAACCCTCATACGAGTCCGCTGGGCTGAGAGTGTATGTCATGAGCGGCCAAAGGTCGCGATAACAGTACACAGCGAAACTCGCGGCCAGGATGAGTACAAGAGATGATGTTGCTACGCGAGAGATCGGTGATTGTAGCGTGGTGTCAATAGTGGCCAGGCTAGAGGCGTAGAGCTGTAAGGTATCAGACTCAAGTCGGCAGTTAATGTATACAGGCGTACATAAGTTAGGAACAAAGCCAGGCGTACGCCATCCTCGTTCGCGATAGGGGTATTGGGAGATATCCGCAGTCCACGCAAGAGATCAAATGCATAAAGCGAGAGAAGTACGATCACGCATAGCGCACGAACGAGCCTGTATGGCAATGCAAACGGTTTGCGTTCGACAGGGTTGTCAGTCTGGGCTGCTTTGTGGTCGCCACTGTTGCCAGAAAGGTGACGGAAGCCGACGAGGGCAAGAAGTAAAGAGGTGAGGGCTGAAGCTGCGGCGATATAGGTCGGGATAATGCGTATGTCTCGCCAGAGGCTGTCGTACACCACGAGTAAGCACAGGGTCTGGAGGCAAGCTGTGGCTACGCACGATATTGGCAATTCCCCCGCAATAGACGCTCCAATCGAGCCCTTTCCGTCCATTTCAACTCCTAAAGGTGAGTAGAATCCAGAATATAGGTCGAGCGGTGCACGGCCTAATTAGAGGTACGATAGCCACCATATATCTGTGCACATGTAGCCGAGTTCGAGTTCTCCCGGCGCTCCTCCCACGCGATGCATATTGGAAAGTACAAGACGCCCCATATATGGTATTGGGCGCTTGTTCCGTGCTCTACGATCGTGAGCCTCCATGAGAGTCCGAGGCAAAAGCGCATCACGTCGGAAACGCGGCGTGATGAGACCGCGTGTGTAACGTGTGACGGTTCGCGATTCCGTTCACCGCTGCTACGTAGTACGGTTCTCTCTCGACCATGGTCAGCGACCGGAGTATCCAGTACTACACGATTTCATCTACTCTGAATCTGTAGCGTATCCAAGAGAACATGACGCCATGACGAGTCCGATTGTCAACCCCGTCTTGAAGACGCGACAGGCTTGTGGCCCTGGGAAGGCGATCACACCGCCACTCAGCCGGTACGCCACTACGCTAGTGAATAGGCATCTTCTCATGCTTCCGCAGGCTCCTGTTTCCCGTATCTTTTGCCTGCCTTGTAACTCTCGTACAGGCTTGGAGGTCCAGGGACGCGCATCGCGTACTGCGATCGCCATCGTAGTTGGCGCTCAGAGGGATCTGAACAGATGCGCTGTAGCTACCTCGAGCAACGTTCTATGAGGCTATATATGTGTCTTCCGAGATGTTTACCTACACTGTACAAGCAAAAGTACATGTTGATATTCCTCATGCTCCAAGCCCTTCCCAAACGCTCCAGAATGGTCTGCCTGTTCGTTGCGGATCCCTAATGTATCCAGTTAGACCGTCAGATCTTCAGACCACATCTGATTCAGATAAGCAGGCGCACCAAGTGATGATATACAGCTTATTGGCTGGATGGGTCCGATATACGACTCTCCATTTGCGACAGCGTAGCGCGGATGACGCGCTCGTTCTCCATGAGCTGAACGCGAGTCCTGAACAGCTCAGCGTCAACCTGAGCCTTTGTAGGTTGGGATGCCGGTCTAGAAGCGGGCGTACTGCCAGAAGCTATACTGCTCTCGGCGGTCGTACTGACGGCCGAAGTCCGCAGAAGCTCGTGACAATGTTGGACGACGCGCGCCCGAGTGAGGGGAATGAACTCCTTATACGTCCCGAGGATATAGTCCTGAAAGGTGTTGTGACACCAGAACACGTGCTTATCGTCGTCAAGGTATAGGACGGCGTGCAGGCCCTCAACCATCGCGTTCACAAGGTCCTCTTCCACTCCCGCCAACGCAGCTAAGAGGGGCACATCCAGTATCTGGGAGGTGCAGACAACCGTCATGAGAACATGCAGTCTCGCGGAAACCTCTTCATCGTCTAAATCATCAAGCATATCCTGCAGAATACCGCCATAAAGACTATCGAGGATAGTCACATCGACTTCGGCAATGAAAGAGTCTTTCGATTGAGACGCCGTTGCGCCCTCGATGAGCCGACGAACTCTCGTCTCCTGCTCGCGCCGAGTTCTTTGCTTGCCCTTCGACTTGACTAGTCGCGCTACCGTGGAAGCGTATAGAAAGAGGCCGGCGGACGCGCGCGTAACATCGCCAATGGTAGCGTCGTCCAGCTTTGTATGGAGCTCTTCCTGCAAGTAGAGCCGTATATCCAGAGAGTCGCGCCACATGAAGGCCAAAGCAGAGTTCATCGTCTGTATAGACACCATCTTCTCTCCCAAGCCCTCGAACGCCGATTTGAGATCTGGGCCGGGGCGACTGGTGAAGAACGCGCGAAGACCCGGGAGCTGCCCTGCGTGCATGGCGGATAGAAGCGAATAGACGAACTCCAACCCTGCATCATTCTCGTCGATCGCGTCGATCACCAGAATCGTCGGTTGAAACTCCGCTCGGGCGTGCGCACTTCGCTTCCATGGCCCGATGAGCAACTTCGACATCTGCACGCTCAATATCTGGTCTCCGAGATTGTGTTCTTGTTGTAGTGCACGGCGGAGCTCGGACGCATACGACGCGGAGCATTCGGCGAGTTCAAAGGCAAGGGTAGACACTAGAAGCTTCTCCTCATGGCTATCCAACTGGCGTGCGCAAAAGAGCGAGACCATTGATATGTCCTCCCGTTTCCGTTCCAGACGCTCACAGATAGTGTACGCGATGGTGGTTTTCCCCTGCCCAGCTAGCCCATTCAACCAGAAGACTGGTTGGGTGCGTTCGTATCGGGTGCGTACTGCCCACTTCATGATGTGGTCAAGGTCCATTACACGCGTACCCGGCGTGCAGCTTCTCCTTTGTATCCCGTAGGGAGCCGTCGCGGCGGTGTATGCCGCCGATTTTGCGCGACCGAGACTCTGAAAGACCATTTCCTTATCATCTCTCAGTATCTAAACGTATAGTGTAATGGAATTTTTGAAACACCTGAAGAATCGCCCCTGTGTTTCTCTCAACGAGCAAACCAATCGAGAGCTGGAGACCTCGTGAGTGCATGCATGTACTCAGAATGATGGTACATTACTTGTATCTCCTGTATCGCGTCAACGACAGTGCGGCATATGCTCTCAACTTCCCCTTGAAGAGATCTGCTTTGTATGACACGAGCGAATGCTCCCTGCCATTTCATGGTCTCCAACTTGACGAGCGCTCCAGAGAGTACACTATAGACCTTGGTCAGAAACGAGTACATCCTGAGATGGACGGTAAGAATCAACATACTGCATCTGGTCGTCGATCGCGCTCGATATGAGCGATGCGTTATCTTGTGCCAAACGCTTCGCGAGAAGGCCCATTACACGGTCGAGTCGCCCGGTCACATCCAGCATTCCTTTCGAGACACCTTGCGCCCGCTATTAGTATCGTGAGCCCTCAGGAAGAACGTAACGATGTCGCGTCTCTTTCACCTCGCATATCTCGACGAGCGCCACCAATCCTCCGATGCATGACTTCAGCGGCGGAAAGACATCCGTCGAATCCCTCAGCAGGTACAACAATTCCTTCGTTCCTTGCCAGCCGATCTCTGCAGCTATTGCAGCAGCTCCTGCGAATACAGATGATAGCATCAGCCATGCGGACTAAACTAGGCGCAACCGAGCTGGCGCACTGTGTAGCTTGGTGGATGGATCTGAGATGAAAGATCGATGGTGAGAGTCGCGCATTTCACCGATACGTAGTGCACGTACGAACGTCTTGCTCTTTCTCCAACGGAGAAATGTCTCCACGGTCTTCGATAGTGACAGATTGTACGACGTTGGCTCTTGAGATAACGCTACGTTTGGCTGAGGACCTAAAGGGAGAGGAAAACGAGATTGGCATGGTGGGTCGGTGAAGAGATGGGTCGGAACGCGTTCCAATCCCCAAGATCGTCGAAAGGACTGTAGCGATAGAGCTTCTTTCACTTTGAGCGCTATGCAGTCAGGCATCACGAAGGCCGTTCAAAGCTGTGCAACTTCGTCCGAGTCTAAGCCCAGTCTAAGCGCTCGCGCACCAACCCTGTCGAGAAATTCCAACAGGACTGAAGATATGTATCTCGTTATGCACGAAGAACCTGGCGTGGACATCATGTCTTTGTGTATTCATGCACCCATGGTAGCTGTACAGATTGGCGTGTGGCCAAGGCGCGGCCGAGGCGACCGGGGCGCGGCAACGACCGACGCGTCTTTCCCAGCCTCCGTCCAGCGCAGCCAGGCGCGTCGAACTGCACTCTGCGCGTCCACCGCTATGCGGTACCCCGTATCCAGCACCGTCCGAGTCCCCGCCCGCGCTTAGTACCTCGTACACTACGCTTTCTCCAACCCCACCCGTCATACCGCGCGGCAAGGGATGCCGTATCACCCCTCCGACCTCCCGTCTACCGCGCATCCGTCTGCGCCGGCAACCGACCGGCGCAGAGGCGGAACCTTACTATCTCCCGGAGCTCGCTAGATGGAGAATAGACATCCTATGTCTTTGTAGCGCGCTTCACATCATCGCCAGCTCGCGCGAAGCCAAGCAGGCGCGGGCGCCGAAGGGTGCGGCGGATAAAGCGCTCGCGCTCATCGAGGCGGGGCTGTGGGGTGCGCGAGGTTAGACGGAATCTCCAAGTGCATCACATACGGATTCTTCGTCGAAGAATGGAGCCTCGTCTCCGGATCCCAGCGTACAAAGCCCATCCGCGAGTCCGGCGCCTGATCAGACACAATATTTGAGGGACGGAATAATGGTGGAGAGGGAGGAGGCGGTGGATGCTCGTTGGCGGACGTCGTTGTGGCGGCTATCAGAGCTTGGAATACAGAAGTTCAGCGGTGTGAAACGGACGAAGCTGCTTGAAGCGTGCGTACACCGTCCTGCGTTATTGCATTTTCCCGAATGAAGAATTTATGAGTCGTATGTACAGGATAGCGTTCTGCCGAAGAACTCGAATTGGTTCGGTAGGGATCCACTCTCGGATATGGCGCATACGGGCCATCGAGGACTCTTGCGCGCGCGCGCCGTATCCATCACATCCGATGCCAGTTCAGCCCTCACCATCGTCACCAACTCGGCCGTTACTCAGAAGGGGATCGCCACCGCCACTCCAGTCGCCACCGGTCCGAATGCACAAGCGCTCCACAGTCGCGAACCGACAAGGCCCACTAGCGCACTTTCGACTGCTCGCTTGTGACCCCTGTATAAGCGCGAGCTCGCATACGATGTCCGCGTCACCCTGCCACCTGCGGTGTTCGGTGCGCCCATGCGATCAACACTCTCAATGACGCGGCCAGCACTTGAACACTGTCCTATACCCACGCGTTGAGCGTATTTCCAGCGCTCGTCGTCACGCTAGCGAAGACGCACACCCTCTCCATTGCCGTCTGTCGTTCCCCGCGCCGGTACTGGGACGGGTTCGGAGATGTACGATAAGCCGAGTTGGATGAGGCCGCGTCATGCTGTTGAGGTTTAGGACGACGGTTGGCAAGGTCATGGCAAGCCCCTTGGGACGGCGCGCAAGTTCTGTCGATGGGATCCAGTACAGCTTCTCAGACAGGTCCGTACATAGCCTGCATATGATTCAGGAGTCTGACCGAGGGAATGCAGATACTCGATAAGACAAGGACCGCCCTTCTCGTCCGCACTGGCGTTGCGGCGACTCTTGGGTGCTGTCGAACGATCTCATACGCGTCGGGCCCCATATCGGAGTCCTCGTGTCGAATCAGACGCCAGAACGTAGTAGATCCGTAGGAGATGTGCGTGTTGGTGAGGCCTATCCCGCCGTTGTAGAGAATACCTGTCCTTACGCTTCGCACCTCCACAGCCTCAATCGCCACGGGTACCGGCGGAAGCTCAACACGCCTCTATCTGCAATTGGACAGCACCATGGGATAGCCCAGCGGTGGATATGGCCTTCGGGGTGGTCGGTGTCTCGCTTTGGAGATCGGACGGGAAGCATTTGTGTTTTGATATTTAGGATACGGATGTCATTATGATGATATAGATGTCATACCCCTGGCCCGCAGTTTCAAAGACACGCTGGACATTAGGTGCTGTGCAGACCCATAGTCACTGCCTCAGAGCGAAACTATCTTGTCGCCGACCCGCTCAAGCTTCCCTACGACAGCCTCCCTAACTCTCTCATACACGCTCTCGTTCAGTGCGATCTGGACGAAAACTGGCCAGGGTATCAGCGTCGCTCCGGTGATCGAGCTAAAAAAGAAAGACTGACATTGCTTGATACTGAACGTAGCTCCATCTTGTATCGGATGCCATAGCGCGGTGGTGATGGTGTCGGGGGAAGAGTAGAAGTAGCTGAAGATCGTCAAGGACGGAGAATCGTTGACGTTCCTATATCGTGCGGTACGAGGTGAGCTGCACGGCGCGAGGACATCGGTGTGTAGCCTGCTCACCCTGCAATAGCGAGCTGTACTCCTGCATACTGCGCCGACGAAGAGATTGACGCTGCATTAAGAACACTCTCGGCTTCGGGATGGGATCCGGGGCGCAACAACTCGACCGCCCGAGCCGCAGACTCATGTAGCTCCTTGTCTGAATCGGCGTTCTCGTCGGCTCTGAGCGCACTGAGAATTGTATCTGCCACGGATTCTCCGACGAGACTATGTTCGACGTCCGAAGAGCTAGTTGCAGCGCGTGAGTCTTGATCTGGCCCAACATATAGCGATGATGGTCACTGACGCTGACTTCGTGACTACCCAGCCAAGGCTGCTGAGTGTTTGAACATATTTGTCGTGCCACTCGCTCGCATTTTCCTCGTCGCTGACGGGGGACTTTGCATCCGCCGACAGTTGTGCCAGGAGAGTCGAGTTGAGGATATCGGACTGGATGCTGGCGTTAGCCAATGGTTTTGGATGCGGATGAAGAGTCGAAGAGGCACAGGCACCTTTTGCTGCTCTGTCAAGCTTTCGAGCCATACGATGGACCGTGCGTCGACGGCAGCGTTGGAGGTGTCGCCCATGGCTACTTGAACGGAAGGGTTGAAGAAGGGTGGTTAAAGGGTGACGCGGACGAGAGGCCGGCACTATATAAGCTTAGGTGATGTTGACCAAAAATGAAGGGTGACAAGAGAGGCCGCTAGTAGCTACTACTGCTGCTGTCGAAGTGGGTGTCTTGTCCATCAAGCTCAAAACGGATGTCATCATATGATGGGAACGTGGGGTTCTCATGGCGTATTTGCGAGGGCAAGGTCGTCGTACGGAGTTGGGATCAACCCGCTTAGTACCGATGAGGCGTCCGCTTCTCCATTGACAGTATTAGCCCTTGTATGCCCAAAATATCATTACAGCTTTATGCCGATACGTGCGGAATCCGTGCGTGCTCAATACGACCTCTAGAGCGCTTTGAAAGTTCTTATGATTGCCGCCCATAGAATGTCGTTAGCGGAGGGAAGCTTATCCAGATACTACCATATACTCCTCGAGTGGCACTGGATGGTGT